CCACACAAACATGGGAAGGCAGGCAGACTACAGCAGCACTGATATCCTCCAGTCCAAGTTTTTGTGGAACTACATCCTTCATTGCAATGTAATCCTTATTGACCAAACTGTTACATAGTAGTGTGCTTTCTTGTACCTCACACAAATTACAGTTGTGTGCTCTGATAACTTCTATGCTCCAAATTTGATTTATTTCTTCTAAAAAAAAATAAAGAGAGAGAAAAAGAAGTCATAAGCCATGTGACAGTTCCAGCTTGCCAAGCTTCCCAATTTACTGGAAACCACATGCCATAATATTAGAGATGAAAGTGTGGTTCTGAAGGACAGTTACAGAACTTGAATGATAATGAAAATGCTGATAGTGTTTTTACCTCTGAAGAAAGCTCAGGAAGATAGCAAAAGATTCAAGGAAAGAGTAAAGGAAAAACTTCAACTTCAAACTGTCCTATTAAATTTAAAAGCCAGCCTTGCTCAGCAAAATTAAGTTACCATACATGGTAGTGGTTCACTTGTTCTCAACACTTGCAGATCTTTGTAGTCATCCAACATTATTTTCCCAGTGTCCGAGTTATGGCCTGGGTATGACAGCAAAGGCAGAATTCTCCTCCCTGCCCTATCTATCGGACCTGCAACAATCCAGCTTGAAGAGTCCCGACGGTGTTAAGCCAGCTCAGTGAACTACCAATCATTCTGATACCCAGATACATCACCAAAGGCTGCACCTTACAAAGTCAAGCCAAGGTAGATACATGTGAGCACACAGATGACCAGTTCAGGCCAGCTGATGCACTGTCTTCTAATAACACTTGCTAACACAAAACAAACATGAGGATGCAGAACAGCAATAACAGTATATACTCTTGTGCAAGGCTATTTGTATAAGTGAAGGTGAACAAACATACAGAGAATAATCCAGTGGAGTTACAGAACCAGCATTATAAATCATAGAACAAGAAGTAACTGAACTAGTAGAACTAGTATTTTTATCTACCTTTTTTTTAAGTAAACCCCAGTATTTTTGTCTCTGTTGATACTAGTGTCTTAGTATTTATTTGCCTTTTGAAGACAGGTATGTGTACATACGCACACAAAAACCTATACAGTAGAGGCGTCTATCAAGAGAGCACAATACAGGACTGGATGGGGCTCACACCCCAGATCTCTAATCGAGATAACCGGGGGGCCGGCTCAGTGCTCCAGGTCCCTCTGTGCCAATGCCAACAGGGACAGGAACCAAGGGCTCTTTCTGCCAGAACGTGGACTGGCCCCAGGGCCCGATCCTTTCCCTTCAAGGATGATCAGACTACAACTGCGTTTGTACGCTATAGGCCTACTAGGTCTGCCCCATTTCCAAGGTCTAAGAGCCTTCTATTTCATTGCCATTGTGTTTTTCCACCCAACTTGTTCCTCAAACACAATGAACTATAAACAACGAACAGAGTAGTTTCCTGAGACTTCAGGCACACCTTTCTATAAGTTTTATACTTATGTTGGGGGCTTTTCCTCTTCTGCAGTTGTGCATCAATTAGCTTTTGAACAAAAAACTGGCTACACAAGGAAACAATGGAAATGCTTACACAGTGCACTACCAAAGAAACAAGCTTTTTACTAATGTGAATACCAAAATAGTATATACTAGTTATGTTCAAAATTTTTTATAAAAATATATGAATTATAATTAGATGCCCCTTGAGGACATTTGTGAACCCTCTATAACCCACAGCACAAGTTTTTCCATTAACATTCCTAAATGCTGCAATAATGTTACAGTTACTAATCTTATTTATCCATTGCTGATGCTACATTCTGGAGACGGCCTCACTTCCTAGCCTGTACTTTGGTTCCCTCCAGTTCTTATCTGCAAGGCAGAGTCACTTCTTGGCTGCACTGTCCTCCCTACTGCCTCCTCCCATTTTGCCTTTCATACTGATAAATATCTATCCATCTACTAAAAATATCAAAAATAGCACATACTATGATTCCTTCCCATTTTGCCTTACATAGGGATAGGGATCCATTAAGAGATTACAAAATGTCATTAAGAGATTACAAAAATAGCACATACTTATAGAGAGAGAGAGAGACTACTTAATTCCTCTTTTTGAGGAAAACACCAGGCAAGAGACAACTACTGGCTGGTCCCAGAAGAACAGGCACACAAAAACATCTGGCAACAGCTAATTACTCTTGCAGGTTTAAAAAAAAAAAAAAAAAGGGGAATTCTGTGGTATTCTGGATCAACTGCAAGATTCCACAGACACCTGGGGTCCCAGGAGAGATTATCATGCCTCTCAAAAAAATCAGCATTCCAGATTTTAAAGAATTTTTTTTTCAGAAGGATTAGAATATTAAACTTTGTATTCCAAAGCAAAACCACACAGCGAGAAAATTTTCATTACAAATCCCAGTTTTCAAATTCATTCAACCTGACTCAAACTCAGTTTTCACTGCCAGTTTTGAGTCACAATCAGGCCGAACACAAGAGACTAACTAGATTAAGTACTATAATCAATACCATGGGAATGACCAGCCTAGGGTTTTCTCTAACGCTAAAATCATACTGACTTTATCCCATTAGTCATTCTTTTCTTTTCTACAGCACGCCACCTAATCCATCAGCGTTCAATAAGAGCTACATTAAGTGCAATTTGCCATTTCTGATCATAGCTCCCCTTCATGGCAAGCTAAATATTGTATCAGAATCTGTTTAGTTCAGTTCACACTTGGTCCTATCTTCAAGAAGATAAAAAATAGCAGACATCTTCTAGGCAATGAAGTTCAACATTAAGGAACAAAAACTTCTGTTTAACAGCTGCTGCTCAGCCCTTATGGTGCCCAGACTGATTAGGGTACTTTCAGGTATTAAAAGGAAGGATACCCTTTTATCTGCTGTTCTGCTATTTACAGGAGGCACTTTCGTATTTGCAGTCCTCCTTCACATGCACACAAGTCACCTAGTCAAGGCAACTATCTCATGCTATTTCCCCCAGCTTAAACCCATCTCGATTTAAAAAAGCAAAATGAGTGTCTTCTGCATTACCCAAACCAGAGCACGTCTGACAGAGCAGAACAAAATGCAGCTGTAGCTTTTTTTTTTTTTAATAAAATAAAAAAGAAGTGGTGCAGGAGGTGCTGGCTGCATCCAGGATTCAGAATTCTTCCTGCTCTTCTAAGCACAATGCAAAACTAGGCTCTAAAGCCAGGTTCCATTCCCGCCCCCCCACTCTTTTCTGCAGTTGGGCAAATTTTCAAAAACATAGGTGGAGCACACCCACAATCTCACCTCACTTAAACACCAGTGGTGCAATTAGGCTTCTGGAAGGTAAGAGAGAGTAATTTCAATCCTCCTCTTGTTGATTACTATTACCTAAAAGTCAATTATTTTTTTAAGACTAGTTTGAGAGACCATTACTAGAGAACCAGATCCTCAGAAAATCCAATTACACCTCTGTACCATGAACAGACGAGAGTATCAACCACACATATGTTTCTGCATTTCTGACTGGCCAGTGGCTCCCAGGTCAGCATGCAAATGTTCACAGCATCTCCTCCAAACAACTACATTCTTCTCCTGCACGGGCTAAGGAGCCTACTAAGTATCCTACTCTTGGATACGCTTCCCTACTGTGAAGCAGGCACTGCCACGCCTGGTGTGTAGGCATACATAGCTTCCCATCTTTCTAGCTCAAGAACACTGAGCAATACAGCTTGTACATCACCACGAACGGTTCAAACACTGAAAAGCACATCACTTAAAGCTCCACCACAGCTTTCCAGCTTGCTTTCTTCAGTCTAAACACCCGCCTTGGTTTTCTACTTCAGACAAGAATATTAAGTCAGGGGAGAAGAATTAGCTTCTTTGTCTCTTGCATCTCAACTTTAGGCCCACTTATCCTGGTATCAAGGAAGACATAAATTTCAAAAGTCTTTTAAAGGTCTGTAACACTGAGAAAACTTCCTAGGAGGCTTACACCTCTGCAGGGCTACATAGCTGGAACACCTTTTTTAGTTAGGGAAAAACCATAAAAGACAATGACTTTTTTTAATATTTCAATATTTACTATGTAAGCTACCTTTTAAATAAGCCAACTTTATTATTTACTATAATAAATTATTATTAATTCGTTATTATTGGGAAAGCCAAAACCCACATTTCCTCGGCTTACAAAGTCAGAGCACAAGACACTTTTCAAAGAGAGCTTACCTAAAATAAATATATGCTCACCTTTGAATTAATCGATACTTATGTGCCTAGAACGACTTAGATCAGTCATGGCAGAGTGGCTATTTGATTGCGATAGCGCTGTTATGTCTTTAGAGTTTAGTAAACATCATTAACTTCACTGGTGAATTTGAGGATATGGGTTACAGCAGTAAATCCGCTGGGTTTGCAACCGTTAAGCCCATCCTTGACATCAATTTTAAGTGCCCCTACACCTCACTGTTGATTTAGACTAATCGTTAGGCTAACGGGAGCGGGGGAATAAAACTTTCTGTGACCAAGAGTACGCGTTTTTCCCACAACGCACGATGACAGATGCCTAAAAATACTGCTGTGGAAGGAGTCAGCGTACACCTGCTTCTCTCCCTGCAGCTTCTCCCCGGATGTCCCAGGAGCTTGCTGCCCCCAGCCCTGCCTCTGGGGCACGGCTGTGAGCGCAAACCCTCGCAGGGCGGAGAGAGGAGCTCCTCTTCGCCTCGATGAAACCGTATTTCCGAGTCCCTCAGCCCAGCCCCACGTGTTTGCGGCGGGAAGACTCCGGCCCGGCGCGGAGGGGTCCCGCTGCCTGCGGACAGCGAGGAGGGACGGGCGGCAGCCGTGTCGTCCCCGTCCCCCCCCGGGACAGCCCCGCGGGGCACGGACGCTGACAGCCGGAGCGGCCGCACCGCCGGCAGCCAGAGCTACCGGCCGGGGCACCTTCTCCGCCCGGGCCGGGGAAGGCCCGAGGCGGAAAGGGCTGGAAGCCGCCACCCCGACCCCTTCCCTCGCCGCCCCTCACCTGTTTTGAACGCCAGCTGCTTGTCCTCGCCGCCGCCGAAGAGCTGGAGCATGGAGACGAAGAGGACCCCGCACGAGTTCTGGATGCCGAAGACGGCGCCGTTGCACCACATGGCGGCCAGCATCACCACCCAGCCCCAGCCGCCCTCGGGGGGCTCGGCCGCCGCCGCCGCCGCGCTCCCGGG